CTGTAGGTCACACTGGAATCCCATTTTTCACACCTACTTCTTCTCCCTGCACTTAGGTCAACCCAGCACAGGGACGAGAACAAGCCTATTGATGTCTTGGGATTCTGTTTTATTTTGGTTCTTCTGAATGTTGAGGGACATTCTGAAAAATTTATAAATAACCTGCCCTTCCTGACTCTGGGAGCCCTAACAAGGACTTGAGGGCGGCTCTTGCTGCCCTCTAGGGGAAGTCAGATGGAAGACACTCTATGGGATGGCAGACAAGGCATAAGGCCTCACTCACCACCATAGGGCAGCACACAGCACCCCTGGTCCTGTCAGTGCCAACAGTAGCATCCGCCAGTCTCTGATGAAGTAAGCAAACAATGGCAGCACCATGTAGCCAAATGCATAAAATATGCACACGCCTAATGTGGAGAATATAATGCGAACTGACTTGCCAAGAATTTCAGTTCCTGTTCAAAATAAAGGAGGAGTCGAGTTAGCACTTTTATTGGATTCTTTCCTTATTCATTTCCCACGGTATCATTTTCAACACAGAGACAAGGAGGCAGCCAGAATTATCTCTCTCTGTTCCTAAGCCCTAGTGAGGAGCTGGATCTGAACCCGGTCTGCTCTGCCATCTCCTGGAGTGCTTGGCTGAGGCCTCTCTGCAACAGTTCTCATGAAATCTTATCACCTTCCTTAGCCACACGTTAAAGATGCCATGCTACCCCCTTTACTCCTCACATGAGGAAGAATTCATTAAAGGCAAAGTCATTACAAAGGCCACATATATTGACTGTTATCCTTCAAGAAAAAACAGTCTACTAAATATGAAAAGAAAAAAAAATCCTTTTAACAATACAGCCCAAGGACCCCAAAGGTTTTATTAGTTTGAGTTAGACTCCAAACAGAGAGACTGACAACTTCAGTGACAGCAGGCTGGCATGTCTGAGCAAAAGCCCAGGAAGGTATATACTGAATCAAAACCTGAACTGAGCATATCCATTTATTCTTGTCAGTAGACAGTATTGTCCACAATACTCTACAGAGGCTTCAGTTCTCTTTCCTGGAAAGCCTGCCCACCATGGCCTCACTCCTCATGGCTTACCTGCCTTTTTCCCCAGCTACCTCAGCCCATGAAGTGCAAGCTTTTTAAAATGAATGAGCTCTGATAGTCCTAGTAAAATGGCATCAAATAATAATAAGACCAAGGTGCCAGACCTCAGAGGGCAGAAAAGAACTAGAAATCAGAAGTTAGATTATTGAGCCACTGGGACCCAAAGCTCATCACTTGTCTGGCTCAGTTTCCCTGAGAATAAACTGGATTCATTAGGAAGCTCTGGCAGTGTTGCTAGAGACCACATCCTTCTGAGGGCCATCACATCTGTCTTCAGAAAGGTGGGTGACAGGATGACAGTGAAACACAGGATCAAGTACTCAACTCCAACTTGATGGCCATACCCAGGACAAATGCTGCCACATAGTTGGAGATCTGGCCCATGCCTACAAGGACAAACAGCACAGTAAACATCTCGAAGTTCTTTGAGAAGATCTGCAGGAAGCTGAAGCCTGTCTGCATGCCCATGGTCACAAACAGCACGTTCTTCCGACCAAACCTGGGAAGGAAAGAGAGGCATGGAGGACCAGCTGGCAAAGGCAGTGGGATCAGGCTCCACCAGGGGAATGAAACACATCAACTATGCTTAAATCCTTATGTTTACAGTGATATTTTAAAAAAAAAAAAAGAATGAGTCAACTTTGGAAGATGACAGAGAAACAACTCATAATAAATGAAGACTGGTAATAAAGGGAAAGAATTATTTGTCCTGACTTTCCTTTGTAAACCATGTGAATAATTACTAGTAACAGCCAAAGGAAAGAATCATTCATGAAAGTATTCCAAATATTGAACTAAAAGTGGTAAAATTAGCCAGGTGCTGGGGGTTCACACCTATAATTCTAGCTACTCAGGAGACAGAGATCAGGAGGACCAAGGTTCGAAGCCAGCCTGGACAAATAATTTATGAGACCCTATCTCAAAACAACAACAACAAAACAAAAAAACCCATCACAAAAAAAAGGGCTGGTGGAGTGGCTCAAGGTATAAGCCCTATGTGAGTCAACTCCCTGTATAGCTATCCTTATCTCAACTAGCAAAAACCCTGTTCCTTCCTATTATGGCTTATACTCTCTCTTCAACAAAATTAGAGATAAGGGCAAAATAGTTTCTGCCGGGTACTGAGGGGGTGAGGGGAGAGGGAGGGGGCAGAGTGGGTGGTAAGGGAGGGGGTGGGGCAGGGGGAGAAATGACCCAAGCCTTGTATGCACATAAGAATAATAAAAGAAAAAAAAGGTATAGGCCCTGAGTTCAAACTCCAGTACCAAAAAAAAAAAAAAAAAATCCAGATGGGGAAATTCTTTAGGTGGACTAGCCCTAAAATTCTTCAATAGATAAATTTAAGGCAAAGAAAGGGATGGAAGGGGAATCCATAGGTTAAAGTAGACTAAAAGACACATCAAATGTTTTAAGTGGGCAAAACTATAAATTTGTGTCTAAGGATACACACTGAATGATGAAACTACAAAAAAAAATCTCAAAGGAGTATGGGCAACAATCTCAAAAGACACAATCCTAATTCCACACTTGCTAATGCTGAAAGCTTGGAAGATCAAAATCCCTGAAGTCTATAATCTCAAAGGATCAAAATTTGAAAATATAATTCTGCAAAAAATAAGTTTAGGCTTCTCAGCAGCCATGAGGCAAGCAGCTCTGCTCCACCACATTCTCTCCACTGTGATGCTCTGCCTCACCACAGGCCCAGGAACAATGGAGCCAAGTGACCATGGACAGAAAGTTCTGAAACCATGAGCCAAAGTAAATCTTTTCTTCTTTAAATTGATGTTCTCAAGGAGAAAAAACAGCCTTCCTCCAAGTTTCACTGAACCAATAGAATTTTCATAAGTTTCATTCTGCTGGGTACCAGTGGCTCATGTCTGTAATACTAGCTACATGGGAGGCTGAGATGGGGAGGATTGTGGTTTGAGGCTAGTCCAGAGAAATAGTTTGCAAGACCCCCATCTCCAAAATAACCAGAGCAAAATGGACTGGAGGTGTAGCTCAAGCAGTTGAGTGCCTGCTTTGTAAGCATGAAGCCCTGAGTACAAACCCCAGTTCCACCAAAAAAGTTTCATTCAGTGCTGGGGATTGAACCAGGGGCTTTGTGCATGCTAATCAAGTGTTCTGCCACCACTGAGCTATCCTGGCAGCCCCACATTATTTTAAGTGAACATTTCATAATAGAAATATACTGGCTTGATGTGAAATTCAATGCATTCTTGTAACAAGCTATATCTTCAGGTTACTACATTAAAGACTTCCAAGATATTCCTTGAGGGTTTATTGTAAAAATATAAGTTGCTTATAAACTGCTTAGACAATTTGAAAGTTAACTCAACAAAATAATGTGTGTGGTTATGTAGAACACATAGCAACAATAAAATTACTTGTAAGTAAAGAAATTCCACTGAATAATTGTGGTATGACTTGTATAAAATATAAAGTGCATTCTTTTATAAACTGAAAACAAAAATTATCTAAAAAACATTCATTTACATTTTTAAAGAGGGATTTGAGAAACATGAAAATACTTCACAGAACACTTTATATAATAAAATAGGTAATAATAACATGTTTTTGTAAACAGATATACTAATGACAGTCACATGTATATAACAATTAAGAGAAGACAAAGTATGTTTACAAAGAGACCAAACAGTGAAATGTATAAATAAATATCATTATGCCTGGTAATTGTGTGCACCCACTGTGTAAATGCAGTCAGCTAAAACAACCATGACAGACAATCTAGGTCTTTTTTGGGGGAGGGGGGTGCTAGGGATGAAACCCAGGGCTTCAAATATTATGCAAGCACTGCACCACTGAGCTATATCCCCGTTCAACAATGTACATCTCTTAATGAGATTAATTAAAAAAAAACTTCAATGGTCACCCAAGGGGCTGAGATCTGGAGAAATTTTATCTTCCACAAATGCAGATGTACAAAAAGGACATCTCTTCATTCACTAAGGAAGTTTCAACATTTTTATGAACACGCACAATGCTTACAAAGTCAGTGTTGTGACAATGCGCTTTATGGAGTCAATGCAAAAATGAATTAGAACTCCCTAAAAGTCTTTACACAATTTATACCTCCGGTGCTAGAAATGATGCAAAGATGAAATATGCAGCATAGTGAGTTGTAAAAAGCAATGCTGATGATTTAAAATAGTTGGAAGAGCTGGGGTATGTCTCAATGGTAGAGCATGTGCTTAGTATGCACAAGTTCCTGAGTTCAAATCCCCGCACTAACAAATATAATAAAATAGTTGGGAAAGAAACAAAGAATGAAAGAACAAACAAATAAACAAAATATGTCATACAAAAATGTGTGTTATAGGGATAGAGGTGGGCAACTGCAGAGGTACCCACAAGAGCTGGTTGACTCTTCTGATCGTTAACTACAGTTGAAGTCTTGCATGTGATAAATATCTCTCTGTTTTCTTTTGGGGCATGGCTCTTTCTTGGAATAGGTTCACATTTATTTTCTACATGACAGATCTCCCACTCATTCCACTCAGACTCACACCCTAATCTCTTCTGGAAGCATTCTCACAGATGCATCCAAAATAATGCTTTCCATGCCCGGTTTCCAGGTATTCATTCCACCTAACATGTTGCAACTATCCTGTGTGTACAAGCAAAAAACGCACTAATCCCTTCCCCAAACTAGCTTTCTGCTCCTCTTATATTATACAGCATTTTTCCCAATGAGAAACTCAGTTTTGGGGAGTTCAACTTTCAGTATTTTTATCTTTTGGGTTTGTGATTTTCAGATTTTAGAGTTTAGGGATTATGGCCTTCAGGATTGTGCCTTTTGGGATTACAATCAGCACCAACAAGGAAGTGATTATTTTAAGTGTGACCAGTGGTTACTTATGGGGGAGGGAGAGTGTGCTGCAATTGGGCTGGGGCACACGGATGGGGCTTCTCTGTGGACAACAAGCTTCTATTCTTGACTTGGTGGTGATACAAGGTTATTTCCCTCAAATAATTTATTGAACCATATATTTGTCCTGTTGGTTTTCTGTATCTGCGATCATTAACAAAAATGTTGTGTTCGTTTGTTTTATTTTAAAGAAAGTGACACACAAGGAGGATCGCTTGAGTCCAGGAGTTCTGGGCTGCAGTGCGCTATGCTGATCGGGTGTCCGCACTAAGTTCGGCATCAATATGGTGACCTCCCGGGAGCAAGGGACCACCAGGTTGCCTATGGAGGGGTGAACTGGCCCAGGTTGGAAAGTGACACAAAACAGAAGGAACAAGTGAATCTGAGGAAAATGGTAGATTCACTGTGAGTCCAGGCAGATCTGGCTGATTGATACCTGCCTGCATTCAGTGAATAGGCATCTGTTAAACTAGCCACTGGAGTAATGCTAAAAAAAAAGAGCTGTCTCTGTCTCTGCCCTCAAGGAGCTTCCTGTCTAGTTGGTGAGACAGGTATTAACCACACTTTAATCAAAGAGCCACACCACTGAACACACAATTACACAGAGACAACGGCATCAAAGAAACAGCTCCCAGGTCCAGACACAACAAAGGATGCATGCAGGACCAAAGAAGTTCTCCCTGACAATGGGACATTATTGAAGCTAAAGGAAAAGTAACTGCTGACATGGGTACCTAAGGGTGCAGGAACCATGCTTTCAAAGATATTCACAGTTTAGTGTGTGTGTGTGTGTGTGTGTGTGAGGGAACAATAATTAATTCCATGATAACATCTTTTATTTACCAATTTCTGATTGGTGCTATGAAGGAAAATCCAGGAACCAGGGTATTGTTTTTTTTTTTGTTCTTTTGGTTTTATTTGTGGTACTGGGGATTGAACCCAGGGCCTCATGCATGCTAGGCAAATATTAAACCACTGAGCTATATCCCCAGCCTGGAACCAGGGTATTGTAAACCATCCATCCTAAGTAGCCTGCATGGACAAGGAAGAGCACTGGGGTAGGGTAGGAAAAGTTTTATACTCTGAGCACATACCACTGTGGCTGGAGGAGGGCATGATGAACTTGGGCCAGTGGCTGGCTTTAGCTGTGCAACAGAAGATTTCAGAAGGTGACATGAGCCAGACTGTACAAGGACTTCCAGCTAAGTGAGAGTTTGGTGTTTTTTCTCAGTGCAACAGCCATTTTTATCTTTCTGTTGTCACAACTCAGGCAGGGGGTGTTACTGGCATCTACTGAATAGAGCCCAAAGATATTGGTATATATTCTAAGATGGCCACGATAACTCTTCACAACAAAGAAATTACTTGGCTTAAAATGTTAATAGAGCCAAAGTTGAGAAACCCTGGTCCAGGAGGGTTTAGGGAGCCCTTACACAGCACTACTCCTGGCAATCAGGGATTGAGAACAGAAAAGCTCACTTTTAAAAGTTTTTTTTGAGACAGAGTCTTACCACACAGCCCAGACTGGCTTCAAACTTTTGATCCTCCTGCTTTAGCCTCCCTGTGTGCTGGGATTACAGACATGCATCACCATACCAGGCTCAGAAAAGCTTTTTTTTTTTCCTGTGGTACAGGGGTTTGAACTCAGGGCCTACACTTTGAGCCACTCCACCAGCCCTTTTTTGTGATGGGTTTTTTTGAGATAGTGTTTAAAGTCTGGGCTGGCTTTGAACCCTGATCCTCCTGAGTAGCCAGGATTACAGGTGTGAGCCACCAGTGCTTGGCAAATATTCTTTTTTTTTCCCCTGTGGCAGCACTGGGATTTGAACTCAGGACCTCACATTTTCTGGGCAGGTGCTCTTACCAGTTGAGCCACTCTACCAGCCAAGAAAAGCTTATTTTTAAAGTCTGTCAACAAAATGACAAACACATACGTGTCTACAAAAACAGGAAGTATCAATCTGTCTCTTTCCAGTGCTGTACCTCTCACAGCTCATAAAGACAACTCAATGTCAGAGGAAATGCTATGACAATATAGGATTATTTTAATTGCTCTTGAACTTCAGACTTAATAATATGCAGATAGGCTCAACCTTTGCCCCATATGGTTGATATCCAAGAATCTACTGCTCTTAGGTAGTTTATTTACCTTAGGTTTTAGAACTGGCTTACTTACAGGAAGTGAATCAGAAGCTACCTATCCCACAGAGCTCTAGGGCTTCTCCAGGGTATGGGACATGCAGTCACAATGGCAATACTTATAGCTATTTCATTTACTGGACTTAAATGATTCTACTTAAACAAAGTTCTGCTGCCAAAATTTTTTAAAAAATTTGAAGCCCTCCATGATAGACCCCATGTAGACTAAGGTGGTCTCAACCTACTCATGAATTTTGTTTCCACTGTTTCCTTAAGAATAAACCTTTTGGAACTTAAACACTTTCCTCAGGTGATCATGCTGTTACACGGTAAACAGGTTCTTAAGATGGCCCATAAATATCTACTTAACCCAGGACACAACAAACCCAGAAAAATACATCGAGTTTCCTTTCAGAATTTGGGGTACTTCCTCATTTTTGACATCAATGCAATTCCTCTAATCATAAGATTTCCCCATCCCTACTTGGAAGGTCTCTAAGCTCAGTCCTTTCCCTCCCCTTTTCAGTCTATACTTTCTTCCCCACCACCATTTTGTCCACATATGGGGCTTTAATGAGGGTACGATCTACTGACGATTCCCAAATACATTTCTCCAGCTCGAACCTCTCATGGAACACCATATTCACACATCCAACTGCACACTCAATTTCTCCCCTTAGAGGTCACTCTAAATTCAGATGCTCCAATTGATCTCATCATCTCCTCAGTGCTCTGTTTCAAAGAAAACCTGCTTGCGCAGGTCAGAGATATTTTTTTGGCTCATTTCCCATACTCAACCCATTAGCAAGTCCTTCACTACCACTTCTCTCCATTTCTACTACAGGCCTCATCTCAGGCCAAGCCATCACTATCTTTTTCATAAACCACTGTGAAAACCTCTTAATTTGTCTTTCTACAACCCTTCTTGGTGCCCTTCCATCCTTTCTTCACAAGGCTGTCAAATCATCTTTTAAAAAATGAAAATCTGCTTGTCATACTTCTGCTTCAAAACTTCTCAATAGTTCCCACTGCTCTGTGGATGAACTCAAACTCCTCACTGAGCATGGCCCACTAAGCCATTTCCTTTTTGCTCTTGCCTATGCCTGCCTCATAGCACTGTCTACATCCCTCTCCATACCTCTACCACAGTGGACTTTTTCTGTTCCTAAACCTCTTGTCTAGGCTTTAGTACATGCTGTTTTACCTGCCCACAATGGTCTTGCCTCTCCCTACCCCTTTAGACAGCTAATTTCTACTCATCTTTCAGCTCTCAGCTCATGCTTTACTTCTCAGGGAAGCTTCCCCTCAAAGATCAGATACTCCCACAGCACTCTGTCCTTATCTGTATCACTTCCCATGGCCAAGGATAATAATCACCTCTGTTATTTAGTCCACTCTGGCTTGCTAGAAGGCAAGGTCTAGCATAGCAGAGACCTCAAGCAGTGATCCACACAAAAGAGGAGCAAGAGAAACTATCTGCCAGGTGTCAGTGGCTCATGTCTGCAATCCTAGCTACTTATGAGGCAAAGATCAGGAGGACTGAGGTTCAAAGCCAGCTCGGACAAATCATTCTCCAGACCCTATCTTGAAAAAAGCCTTCACAAAAAAGGGCTGGTGGAGTAGCTCAAGGTGTAGGCCCTGAGTTCAAACCACAGTTCTGCAAAAAAAAAAAAGTTTAAAAAAATATTTGTACAGTACTTATAACAGCGCAGAGCACATATTAGGTACTACACATTTGTTAAATCAATATAAGTAGTCAGTATAAGGAATGTTTGTTACTAGATGAATGATCCAGAGAACTGAAGGCCTTTCTCTAATAGGGACAGCTGACTCAGGCTCAGCTAGCATTGGCAATGTCTAGGCACGGTCTATTGAACTCCTCAATACTCACTGGTGACTGGAGGGATTTTTCTGGTTTTTAATCACTAGATGACACTCTGAAAAAGTAAATCTAGTGAGATATGCACGTTTAAGTTTTCATGAGGAAAGACTCATAATAAGCTGTAGATATAAATATGCCAGAACACGCCCCTCAGTTTATGCTGCAGAATGAAGCAGCTTTGCTCCTAAGGTAGCATGATGTTCTCATCCTGAACTCTGAGACCCCAACTAGCCAGGAAGACGCTGGCACTCTTCTTTGCTGGGTATTCTTTCCATGCCACTACAAGCAAGGATTTGCTGAAGGTCACTATTCTCACCTCAGACATCTATGACAGACCCCAAAGCTGCAGGTTAGAAGGTACGAATATTAACAGGGACCCCTCTGAGAATTTCATGAAAGCCAGAACTTGTTTCTCACCAAGTGCTTACATACAATCGCTAACATTTTGCAGATAATTTCAAGAGCTTTGGGATCCGTAAGCCATTAACGGACCTTGAGTTAAAAGCTTTAAAATTATACAAATGAGACCCACTCATTAAAAACCCAGGTTTATGAAGAATGGGTCAGAACAGCATTCAATATCCTGGGCATAGAGTTAGTGCCACAGTGAAGGCCACTTAGCTAAGGGCTCAGCCTGAGGACACAGAGTTCTATAACTCATACCACTACTGGCCAGCAAGATCTTTCACCTTGCTGCTCGTCCTGGGAATCAGAGCTGGTCACCCTGGAACTGCCTAAGAATCTGCAATACAGCACATTTCATGTGTGCAAGGGGTCAACCTCTCCCATACTCAGGGACAGGAGAGAGCCATGCTCACCCAGGGAGGGCAGAAGTGGAACATGGCCTATTACCTGGTCACTGGATCATGAACACACTTGGCTTAGATAGGTCAGGTTTCTCTATTAGCAAGAACTAGAAAGTGGGGTACAAGGGTGTTGGCTCATTTTACTTGATATGGAGTGTACACTAAATACAGCTTCTTCTTCCAAAGTGCACAGCCCAGGGTTGAGAGAACACCACCAACTGAAGTCACGGCCAGGAACATGCTCCTTGCTCTGTGCTGGCATGCCCTGAAGGGACAGGAGACACTTACCTGTCTGAGAGCTGCCCCGAAATGAAGGAGCCCACCAGCACACCCACGAAAAACAAGGAGATGGTGAGTGGGGGCTTCCAGTCATCCTCGCACACCAGGTTCCACTGTAAGAGAACAAAGTGATAGATCATTTACTTCTTTTAATAAAGGTTTTAAATGTAAGGCTTCCTGAAAAATACGAACTCACTTATGTAGGCAATGGTTCACCTGGACAGCAATACAAAGGGCAAGTAGCCTCTCCCTCCCCACCCTGCTTTTCACAGCTTGAGTCCCACCAGCTTCCATTTTGAGGAGGGGAGGTAGGCAGGGAGCAGCATTCTACCTAGATACTCACCTCTTATGAGCAAGGCCTCTTGTGCTCACTCCTAAGAATCTGGACAAAGCCCAGGGCTGTGGAACAGGTAAGGGGCACTTGCTAAGGTGGGGTTCAGCAGAGGGAGTCTAAGGGTCAAAGCAACCAGAAAGGGACCAAGGCCAGAGGGCCCAGGGCCTTCCATCTAGACCTCCTCCTTCAGCCATCCTCAGGCTCCCACCCTGGCCAATGAGCCCTCAGTCCTTCTTTGTGACCTTCAAAGCTGGAATCCCTAATGCTGGACAGCTACAGTAAGCCCGTCTTATTCACAGATTTATTACATGTGGTTTTGATCAAGTACAGTTAAAAAAAAAAAAGAAATTTCAGTAACAAAAATTTATAATTCCCACGTGTGCATTATGCAGCCCAGTTGGGGAGATACAGAGAAACTCTCAGTCCCATGTTATCATCAGTTGTCGATTCCCTGCCCTTAATTTTGTGACAATATGCCTCCCAAAAAGCAAATGGTGCCCAAAAAGGTAAAGGTTAATGTGCTTAATTTAAGTGGTCAAATGAAAATTTTAGACTTGTTGAAAGGTGGCACGTCTTTAGTGGAAGTTGGGCGGCATTATAGCATCTGCTCTACAGTACTGAATTCTATGCATCCTGAGCACCCAATGTGTGACTCTTCCTGCTCACATGATGAGCAGGAAGAGAGATCTGCAGGCAGGAAGAGGGTACACAGGGAAACAGCTAGACACTTAGACTAAGACTGCCCCAGTCTAATAAGGAGCCAAAAGAAGAAAGCCAAAACAGGGAACTGGTGGTTCCCAGAAAAATGTTTCCTAGGCCAGAGACGGCACACAGTAGGGAACTTCTTCAGACTTCTCACAAGCATAGCCACCCTCCTGGGAATTCAGATCCTTGCCAGCTTGGCACAGGCCACTGCCTTCCTTCCATGGAGCCTGCTGACTCCTTAGCAACCTGCAGAGACAAAGGGGAATGTGCACCTCCCTTGAACAAAGCATCTCTTCCAGTCCAGCAACAGACAGAAAAATAAGTGTGAGTCTCTGCTCTGCTGGGCTAGGTATGCACACAGCCTCTGGGTACCTCTCAGAGGGGTTGGAGGACAGCCCTCTTGCTGCACACAAAGAACCCCCACTGCTCACTTAGGCATAGCGCTGGTTCTCCACTTTGGAATAAGCCTGCACCTGGATGGACTGAGTGGGATGGTGATCCCCAACCCAGGGAAGAATTAAGGATATCTGACCCCCAAATGTGGAAAAAGTCCACACTAGCAGGAGTCAAGAATAGTGAGCACCAAGGCCTGAATGCATAGGCTGCCACAGCCTTCCCATCAGTGCAACCTCAGCAGTGCTGTCACTCAGATACCATCTCTTTGGCAGGTGGGTGAGTGTTCCTAAGATGATCCCATCCACATGTGACTGGGAATTGTAGGGGAGAAAATGCTGAAGGAAACAATGATGGGTCCCAGCCTCTGGGTGTCAGACTGAGCTTCAGGACCCAGATTATAGTTGCACCCTTTTTTTTTTTGTGAAGGCAGAGAAAGGAGATTTATTATACAGCTCATGTCCACCATGGGAAGAGGAAAAGTAAAAGTAAGCACTTACGCCCATCTTTAGCCATCTTCAGGGTACTGACATGAGCTAAAGATTTAAATAGTCCAAAGAAGTGGTCTTCTGGCTCACTCCTGTAATCCTAGCTACCCAGGAGTCAGGAGGCAGAGATCAGAAGGACCAGCCTGGGCAAATAGTTCACTAGATCCTATCTCAAAAATTCCATCACAGAAAAAAGGGATTGGTGGAGTGGCTCAAGGTGTAGGCCCTGAGTTTGAATCCCAGTTCTGGAAAAAAAAAAAGAATTAGGGTAAGTGGTGGAAGGTGTGCATAGTTAAACAGCCCCAGTTACAGGCATGGTCTGGTTGTTCTTATCTCAGTCCTTGTTTTAGAAGTTGTTATAGCTGTCACAGCAATCTGGTCAGGTGGTTTGGGGGTGTTCTGTCCTGAGGGGGCTCTGATGTTCCCTTCTTTGGGGCATTTTCCTCCATTCCACTCTGTAAAACATGTTATTGCATCCGTCTGGTCCTTTTTGGATTCCAAGGTGATTGCAAAGTCACTGTAGAGGGAATAGCTCAGAGCAAAAAGCAGATACAAAATGGAGATAGGGATGCCAAACTTTTCTCCTGCTTTTATTTAATTCATGGGCCCAAGAAAGGAGTCAATGCTTTTCAGCAAAAGCAGTTTAAGCTCCTGTTATAATTCTCCCTTTATGTTTGAACATTCTTTAATCTGCCACTCATGAGTATTATGGGATGTATTATTTTTTTGCTGCAGGAAAGATGAAAAGATAAAGGACCAGAAGCTATTTCTCAACATATCTATCACAAAGGTGGGGATTAACATGGCTGAGCTAGATGAGAAATCCACATGGATTCCTGCAGTGCATCTGGGATTGTAAACTCCAATCAGGTCTCCCAGAAATGGGCTTCTAGGGAAACCTAGACTGCCAAGGCTGGCTACTACCTGAAAGCAGGTCAAATTGCTTTTCAGAGCACAGGATAACTTTAGTGCTCATCTTGGGATAGCCCCTGGAGCATTCCCACCAACTTGGTTCAGCCTGTCCTTAGTCTGGACAAGTGCATAACCCCTTGGAGTAACTGTGGCTTCCACCCACCACTGATAGTCCTTGAGAAGTCTCAGGGCCTGACTTGCATGAATACTTCTTACCTACAAACCACAACAGGTCTGTGAGTGGGACCAGGAAAGGTGATAGATCCCTAAAACACGGAATGGGTTACACCCAGCCAATCCACTCAATTACCTGTCAACCACCAAATAGGGGTCAGATAATAAGTCCACAGAGCCCAGGCTAAGTACCCCTGTTTAATGTGTTACAGAGGAATCCTATGAGTTCCTAGTTCCCTAGCTATGACTAAAGCAGTTGCAAACTAGCTTATCAATGCTTCTACTCAGCACATAAAATGGGCTACACCGGCTGATAACAGATACTAGTGTTAAAACTGAATATGTGAGTAAACTCACATATTCAGGTCATAAGCCCAGCATCATTATTCCTCAGCTGGGTGAGCTGTTAAAGCAAGCTCAACTGGAAAGAATGTGAAAGCAACCCTAGTAAGGGGCCTAGACTTGCTGTTCTTCCTACTCCAAAATGTACCTTTCTAGTGGTGAAGGCCTTACATAGATACAGGTGTCAAAACTTTTCAAGTTTTACATTTCAGATTTATGCTTCAACTAAACTGGTAAACTTTTTTAAAAGTGGGAGAATTGTGTCTCTTGTACCTTACATGTAATTGGCACTGCTTTTCAGTTGTGGGATGTAGAGAGATGATATAGTTCCCTGGTACTAGACGTTCTTACCTGTGAACTATCTGGAAAGGAAAAGAGACAGGGTCTGTGCCCATAAGACCAAGGTTCTTCCTGGAGATGTACCTAGTCTGACCGCATCAATGGTCAAGCACACTAGTAGGCACCACATTTTACTGAAGGCCATCTATTCCTACACATTTTTCCTGCCTCCTGCTATAATTAATGGTAGATCCTAGCTGGGCATGACTCTGTAGATCCAGCACTCAAGAGCCTGAGGCAAGTAGACTGCTTGAGCCCAGAAGTTTGAGGTCAGTCTGGGCAATGTAGGGAGGCCCCATTGCAAGAAAAAAAAAATTTAGAGATGATCTTTTTCAAGGCTGTCAGGGCAAAGGGGTATTTACTACCACATCCTCTATAACACCTAGCAGTGCCCTGTACGGAGGCATGGCTCAGAAGCTATCTGATATGAGCTTCTGAGTGAGTGAAAAGGGTCACTAACCTTCAACATCAGAGAATCCTTTGGGCTTAGTCTCTGGGCCTGGCTGCCCAAAGTCCAGATGAACCGTGAAGTTCAAACTCTAGAATAAATTATTTCTTTGTTCCCTGACCCCCTGCCTATGTCATTGGTCAGTACTTGAACTCAGGGTGATAGTTTTGAGCTACAGAGGGGCTCAATCTGACCACTTACAGCCAGATGTATCAACTATGACTGTACGCACAGGGAGCCACAGAGCCCAGGAAGCAGCTTCTTTGGTTTGCCATGCAGTTGCAAGGGCATAGATGAGGGTCTGTGCTTTCCCAGAGAGGAGTCAGTATAGGAATAGCAGTGAGGCAAAGGCTTTAGGTCTCTCAGGGTTCTCCAGCCCAAATCAGCTCTGTCAGGTCTCCCAGGATGCTGAGGCTTTTCATCCAGGCAGGCTTGCAGATAACAGTGGGGGCTCTCCGGCCTCCAGAGACTAAGCATGAACCAAGACTGATGGAAAAGTCCAGAATAACAGGGAGTGAGTCAGAGTCCTGCCAAGGACTGGGCTGGGAGCCTCTGGAAATCAGAGATAGACAGGGACAATACAGAAGACTGACAGGTGTCAGTTGAAGGAGCCCCAGCTCATAGGTAGCAGAAGCCTCAGAAATTTCTAAAGGAAGCTTTCTGCCTGCAGACTATGCTGGGCAAGGCTGGTTAAAGGACAGATAGCTCAGCAACTTGAGAAATCACCCAGATTTCCAGAGGAAGGACCAGTCCTGGACCCAGAAGCACTGCAAGGTGGGTAGGATGATTTCTTAGTTCCCCAGTGATGAATGAAGGGCCAGAGGTGGGGCCAGCCTAGAAGCATATAGATCATTAAATTAGTCCTGAAACATAAGCGCATAAACCTCTTTTACCTCATAGTGTCCCCTTCTGTTAGTCTCGATGCCTGGTTCTAGATACACAGAACCAGAACACTAAGCTCTAGCCAAAGCTGTGCAGAATCAGATTTCCTTTAAAATATTCCAGTCAATCCTTTTTGGATACCTCCAAATTTTTCTTCTATGAATTAGACTACCCACTTTTCTTTAGTTCTCAAACTTTAAAGAAGATTTCTTAAATTATTCATTAACCCATTCAGTAAAAATTTCTCTGAGTGGGAAATTCCCCTGCACTCAGCATTGTGTCAAGAATTAAGGGAGACGCAATGGTCTAAATCTACTGCCAAGTCTAGTACTATGTGTATGTACTTTAACTCGAAAAGATTAAAAAAAAAGTCAAATAAGGAAACTTGTTTTTCTGTTAAAAAAAACAAAACAAAACATGAATACGAATTCAATACCAGTGTACTTACAAACACCTCTATGTTTGATTTGGGGTAGAGGGCAGGCTTGGAGACATTTAGCAGGCACGAGACTAGCTGCAGTGCTCAGCAGGCCAGGTCTGCGTTGCAAGCAAATGGACCTTAGAAAGTCATCAGAATGTTGATGCAGCAGCTTCAGACAGCTCATCTGAGAGGAGCAAGTCGCCTTGAACTTCAAGTCAGGCATCCCAGCATCCCAAAACAAAGAGCTGAGTAATGTATTAATCTTGCCTCCCTGCAAAGACTGACAACCTGTAATTAGGTGAAAGGGCACACAGTCCTTACGAAACTGCTAAGACAGCTAAATAAAGTCTAAACATGTAGAAAACAGACAGACTGACATTGGCAGCAAGGGAGGTCAGAAAGGTCAGGACCCTGCCACACTGCTGGCCTTTGGGAGCTCATCAGTGCCACTACCACTCTATGTAAAAGGCAGAATGGGACAGAGAAGCAGGAGCAAATGACTAGAGTAAGCTGGGGGATTCTCAAGGTCAAGGTAAAACCCCAGGAGATGCTATGAGCTCACTGACTTCATGTCACCCCTTCCTTGGACAGTGATAAGCAGAATTTGTAGGGACTCCTGTGTGAACCCAACTCTACTGTCAAAGTTCTCCCTGGCTTCCAAAAGGTAACAGCTAGAACCCAGATGGGGGACAACTGAAAATTCCCATCTTCTGTGGGCTCATAGGCCACAAAGCAGTCAGCTGCTTTTACTTAGTACTTCTTTTGTCAAGTAGCGATGCCTGAGGACACTGGGATGATATCACTAGGTGAGAATTCCCAATGGGGCTCAGGTCATACTCTTACTACCTGTATATAAAGGAAGCAGGCACGGGTGACATCAAACTTCCAAACATTAACATCAGAGAAAACACACATATGTGTATACAGTGAGTCTTCTGAGGACAGCTCACAGATTCCACCCTTGAAGGGTGACAATGCCCTCTGTAAGGCCTTTTGAGGAAGGAACCTGAGTACCTGCCTCCAGCAAGGTTAGACGCCATACCAGGAGCCATGGTTTCTCCCTGTCATTCCTTTCCCTCTGCCCTCCTGCCACACAATTTCTTGTTGCATCTAGGCCTCGATAAGCTGAACACCCCAGACTCACTGGGAGGCCACCTTCTTCAAGAAGCTTTCCCTAACCTTTGAATCCTTAATGCTGACATTCAATGAACCTCTGGCCTGATGCCTATCAAGGAGGGCTCTTTTCACTGCCCTGCTTACTCTGTGCTGCTGAGTCTCCAGAGGATCAGTATCATAGCACATTAACATCATGCCACACTCCCAGTTTGAATGACTGCAAGTTCACTGGGGAAGTCACCTGATGGTTAAATTCAAGAGGTTGGGGAAATGAGAAAAGTTTTCCCCCACTGCCTACAAACTAAGGTTTGTGGTTTGCTTTAACTAAACCTGATCAGTGATGTTGTCTCAGAATACCTTGGAAAACACTCCAGGCCAACAAGTCACCCAGACACATAGGTCCTTAAGAAATGACAATAGACCACGGTCAAAAGTGATTTTTGACCAAACTTTAGGATATGACCAGACTTTCACTCTGGAGTGAGGACGGGTGGGGTTAGAACTAGACAAAACAGAGCTTTATACACATGCTTCTTTTAACTTTAAAAATTCTCAAAAGAAAAGAATTCCCTTTTGCTGTACAGATGCTAAGAGACTGGAGGAAAAATGGTGATAGTCCTTTAGTCCAAGTCCTGGCTCTGCTCCTCCTCATTCCCACCACCATTTAGAGCAAATCCAACCCCTTAGGGTCAGAGGGGCCACCAGGGCCTTCCTGGCTCCATTTCCAATGTGGCCATCAGGATGGGTGGCCAGCCTGACACTTGTACTCTGGCTCTGGTTAGAGAACACCTTGCAAAATGTTTCTGGGTCACCTAGCTGGAGAATGTCCATCACCAGGGTGGTGAGTGTTTGGAGTGGGAGCGGGAGTGACAGCGTCCAGCGCGCACCTAGGGATGGAGGAGTTCGAGGACCGCAAATGTGCCTCCACACCACCAGACACCGGCGGGGAGCTGTGACCCACCTCGGTCACGATGGTGGACAGGTAGACGTCTTGGCTGTACTCCCAGCCATCCAGGCAGCCTTCTTGCTCCAGCTGCTCCAGGTCCACATCAATCCCCGGCTCCAGCCCGAGCGCAGAGAAGTTGGCGATGGTGGCCAGACGATAGCGGCGGCATTTGTGGGGCACCTCGCGGCCGTCCTGGAGCTGCAGCGGGACACTGTGGTTGCGCCACGCGCTGCTCAAGTTCGCGGTGTCGGGCACCCGGCAGCGGTGCTCCGGGGTCGCCGTCAGGAACACGACTGACATGCCATTGAAGCCATTGGGGATGATGCTGGCGCTGAGCAGGAAGAAGATGAGGCGCTGGAAGGGCCCCCACTCGCCTAGGAAGGCGGTCACCTCCTCGTAATCCCGCATGCCGTCTTCAGCCGCCCGCGGCGCCGGCCCGGGGTGGGAGGACACCGCGGCGCGCGTGGGCGGGGCGCGATGGGCGTGTACGCGTGCGCGCGGGGCACCCACCGCCCTCCTGAGCGAGCGAGGAACGCAACCCGGAGACCGCTGTGGGTCCGATCAGGTTCGCGAGCTCCCACTGCGGCCGCCGCGGCCTTGGCGCCACGGCCAGCCTTTTATAGGGAGCGAGGCCGGGGCGGGTTGTGAGCCTAAGCCGTAAGGCCCGCCCCACCGGCCGGCAGTGCGGCGCAGAGCGGCGCGGCGAGGGCGGGACAGAGCCGGGGTGACGCAGTGGGCACCGGGCGGCGCGTGCGCCCGAGGCGGGGGCGGGGCCCGGCCTCCCGGACCAGTCGGGGGCGGGCCTCCTCTGACCACGCCCCCAGCGAATTGCCTCGGGCTGGGTTGCGTGGGCAGTCAGTTTCGCGACCTTGGTGTTCAAGGCCACTCGTTTTTTCCAGAGGACTGAATAGGCAGGCCAGCGTCCCCGAGGCTCAAGTTATAACTATGTCCCCCTCCAGGCCTTTTGCAGCGGCTCAGAGAGGGAATGTGACTGGCTCAGGGAGTCATTGACAGCTAGCTGCCCTTGACACCGCCGTCCTTTAAGAGTGACAGGTTATTTTGAAACTAGATGTTAATTACCGCCATGGCGAGGCTGGGAGCAGTGACTTAATTCTAACCCAGATGCTCTTCTATAATTTGTTCTGGTCTTAAGAAATCATTTTGTTCTTTAACTTCTTCGAGCAAATGTAAAAATTTAACTTCGAGATTAAGTTAGCGTATATTAATTGCACAAAATAATGGGTTTTATTGTTCTGCATATGAGAGAAAACACACGGTATTTGTCTCTCTGACAAAAAAAATGTGAAAGATACTACCCTCAGATTAGGGTTTTTTGTTTTGTTTTGTTTTGTTTGCAGTACTGGTGTTTGAACTCAGGGACTTGAGCTTGCTAGGCTGGCGCTCTACCACTTAAGCCTTCCCACCAGTAAAAATTATTTTTGTACAGTTAACTCAGGAGCTGACTGACAATGAAAAATAGCAACTATGCGATTTTAAAGGCTGCCTTGTCTAATAGAATAATGATCTACATTTGTAATTTTATCTACTTTTGTTTATTTGTTTTGAGATAGGGTCTGACTATGTTGCTCTGGCGTTCCCTACCTCCTGGGCTCAAGTGATCCACGTGCCTCAGCAGTTGGGACTACAGGCATGTAACCCTGTACCCGACTACATTTGTAAATTAAAATTTTCTAGTAGCTATGTTAATATTTTTTTCCAGATTCAGCAAATAAAAATATCCCTAGTTAAATTCAAACTTTGAATAAATAATTTATGAAATTCAAATGTAACTGGTGTCTTTATTTTTGAGCTGTGGATGTAACTCAGTAATACAGTACTTGCCTAGCATATCCTAGGCTCTGAGTTCAATACCCAGCACTGCCAAAAAAGAAGTTTGGGGGGGGGGAGGGGGCAGTGAGCCAGGCACCAGTGGCACCAGTGGCATCAGTGGCTCATGGCTGCAATCCTAGCTTCTCAGAGGCAGAGATCAGGTGGATTGCAGTTCAAAGCCAGCCCAGACAAATAGTTCTTTTTGAGATCCTATCTTGAAAAAACCCAATAAAAAAAAGGACTGGCAGAGTGACTCAAGTGGTAGAGTGTGTCCCTAACAAGCGTGAGGCCCTGAGTTCAAACCCCAATACTACCCCAAAAAAGGTGAGATTAATTTAAATAATATACTTATTTAACCTTGTGTATCCCAACATTATCATTTCATCATATAACCAGTATGGAAATTGAGATATTTTGCAATCTTATACAAAACCATTGGTTCCCACCCCAGACTAAGTCTAAAGAACACAGTATGTATTTTAGAGCACATTTCAATTCCAACCAGCTAGCCAGATTTAAGTGCTAACAGCCATATGTAGGTAGAGGTTATCTTATTAGATGGTACCATTCTAAGGCCTTTAAGAATTTGGGCTGCTAAATTTAATATTGCAAGATATTTTATGTTATGAAGATTGTTTATTTGCAGGGCTGGGGGTTGAACTCAGGGCTTCGCACATGCTTGTCTGCTTTAAAAAACAATAATAATGACTTAGTAATAGAAAACTAAGTGTATGTACATTTTAAAAATGCAATCTATTGCATAAGCTTATATTCTAAAGCTTTAGAATATAAAGCTTTAGAATATAAAGCTTTAGAAGCTATATTCTAAATTAAAAATAAAAAATACAGATGGAAAATCTAGCTTTGCTAACAGGTTTTAGACAAGGAAATATTAACATTTCCATAAAGCATTTTTTTTAAATTATAGCAAACATGTAATAGCAAGTATTGGTCATCTCTTTACACTTTGCTATTCACTGTTTCTGCTTCTTGAATATGGATGGCTATGCCTTTGGTAGTGTACTTAATTCTTTCTAATATCTTCCTTTTTGTTTCTGTTTTGAGTTTTGAGACAGGGTCTCTGTATGTATCGCAGACTGGCCTGGAACTCATGAACCTCCTGCCTGTGTCTCCTGGGTGCCTGGATTACGGGCCTGTACCACCACATCCAGCTCTTTCTAGCAACTTAAAGTAACAGTCCTTATCTAGAATTAACTGAAAAAGAAAGCAAAACTTCTTGAAAATAAACCTATTTCTTGTATCCTAAAATATTACTTAACATTTCAAAATAAACAAAAACTTCTATGAAGAGAATGTTGACTCCTGTCTAGAGCAAACAAGATGAAAAAGTCTTATTTTAACATTAGGGAAATATCAGTTGAGCATCAGGAAACACTCCTTAAAAGGTCTGAAGACAATTCACTAGACTTATCAAAGAAGATGCAAGTCTTAAGGAAATAAACAATTTGTCATAAATGGCTTGTTACATGCACAAAGCCAAAAATCACCTGGGGCCATGAATACTATCTCAATGTTATTATTTAAATTGCATCTTTTTAAAAGAATGACCAGGTAATCTTACCAAGCTACTCAGGAGGCTCAGAGATCAGAGGTGGGGAGGATCATGGTTCAGGCTGGCTCAGGCAAATAGTTAAGAATTGTGGTCTGAGGCTGGCCCAGGGCAAAAACATGAGACACTACCTGAAAAATAACTGGAGCAAAAAAATGTGCTGAGACTGTGGCTCAAGTGATAGAGTGCCTGCCTCGCAAGCAGAGGGCCTCAATTCAACTCTCAGTACTGCCAAAAGTAAAAATAAATAAAAGAATGAAAGAACTCAGAATCTGAATCAGTTACCCAAGGCCCTTTATTCCTTAAGATTCTGAATCAGGGATTAGTGGAGTGGCTCAATTTGTAGAGCTCCTGCCTAGCAAGCATGAGGCCCTTAGTTCAAACCCTAGTGCCAAAAAAAAAAAAAGTGTCTATTTTATATATTTGTAATGCTCGTATAGAACCTAGGGTCTCTTGCATGCTAGGCCCTCACTCTACCACTGAACTACAGCTTCAGCGCAGAATGTTCCTATTTTATTTATAAGTGAAACTCAAACTGATTTATATGGCAGACAGCAGACTCAGATTCGAATCCTAGATTAAATGGATCTGAACACTAGCAGATGTGGCAGCTGGCCTCCTAGATGGTACCTGATGATCCCTGTCCCCTGGTATTCGTATTCTATGTAGGTCCCTCCCACCTTGCACCAGGTTGATTTCTGTGACCAATAGTATGCAGCAGAAGTGATGGAATTTACATCATTTTAGTGGTTATGTAACCTGGGTACCTTTGAAATTGTCTTTTGCTTCCCCTGGAGAAGGACACAGTCCTTGTCTTAACTAATTCCATTTTGTCCCTCTAATCTATTCTCTCATTTTGTCCCTATTTTTCCTTCTCAGCTTATCTCAGATTCCAGGAATGGCAAGCCTGTTGCAATCATCTCATGCTGGGAACCAAAACCACCCAAGAGGCAATAAAGATTTCCCTTACACTGGCGACCCTACAGAACCAGACCTCAGAATCTGATCAGCCAGATCACAGCCTGAGTGAGATTTCTATGCATACTTCTTACCTGCTCCCTGCTTTGTCCTTCCCTATATATCTTGGAGCTATTGTTAGTATTGTTTCTTAGGAGATTACTAGACCCAGTCTTCCCACTGTGACCACTGTATCACCACTACATTTCTGTCTGCCGATTAGCTTCTCAAGGTGGCAGGTGGCAGAATTTGACTTCTTAGGATTCCCAGAGTCAGGCTTCTGGTGTACTCCTTTGAGTAGGACTGATGACATCTCCCTGTTTTAGCACCCATTGTAGCCACCCAGATCCAATATCTTTTTTTTTTCCTTTTATTATTCATATGTGCATACAAGGCTTGGGTCATTTCCAGATCCAACATCTTAATGACCATGTGCATTCTTCCAGCTCTGGAAAGTATAAGACTAGAGATGAGGACTGCCATTTTGAGTCCTTATTTCCGTTTCCAGCATGGGGAGCAGGAAATGTTTCATCCTTTTTTCCCATTTCTCCCCACTTTTATCCTATTACACTGAACTCCTTTCCTAGTAAATTTTACTATTACTTTTACTACATTTTCGCATCTTACCTGAATTCTTCTCTTGTTGGATGCAAGAACCAAGGTATTCAGCAGCACTAAACTTTCTGGTAACAATTTGAAACCTGACAGGATTGGATGGACCTGGAGGATATTATGTTAAGTAAAATAAGTCAGGCACAGAAAGACAAAACCGTATAATCTCACTCATAAGCGGAGTCTAAAAAAAGTTGATCTCACTGAAGTTGAGAGCAGAATAGTGGTTACCAGCAACTAAGGAGAATAGAAGGAGGGAGGAAAGGGGAAGGAGAAGAAAGGTTCCATTATTGGGTAGAATGTTATTATTTGACAGAAAGAATAAGTTCTCATGTTCTATGACACAGCAGGGTGAATATAATTAACAATTATATATTATATAGCTCAAAAATGGTTAGAAGAAAGGAATTTGAATTTACTAAGCCAAAATAAGGCTTAGTAAAGGTGATGCCCATGTATATTGCAGCACTATTTATAATAGGCAAGCTTTTGAAGCAGTCCAGATGCCCCACATCTCATGAATAGATTAAGAAAATGTGGTATATATACCACAATGGAGTTTTATTCAGCCATGAAGAATGAAATTATGTTGTTTACAGGTAAATGGATGGAACTGGAGAACTTCAT